GGAAGGACAATTAAGAACTTAACGCAGGAGGACTACCTGGGCCCGGTCACGAGATCTAGGAGCCGGGTGCAAAAGGCACCGCTCCTATAAAAACAGCCACCCCACTGACGGCTAGCCACCCTGATGAAGCCGGCAGGAGGCCAGCGAAAGCTAGGTGTTTTAATGTTTTAATGATAATAAACTTTTGTAGTTTTTAACCTCCTGGTGGTCTCACAGTTTGTGACCCTTTGAATATGAATTTACCCAGGAGTCAACCTCCAATGTTTAGAATTTTAAAGGATATATATATATATACACACAGACACACACATATATGTATGTATTGTATGTATGTGTGTATGTATATATGTATGTATGTGTATATATATATATATATATATATATATAGTAGGAAACAAAACGTGTCTTCAGTGTTATTTTTAACCATATATATATATATATATATATATATATATATATATATATATATATATATATATATATATATATATATATATATATATATATATTAATAAACAAAAAGTGTTTTTTGTGTTATTTTTATTTATATATATATATATATATATATATATATATATATATATATATATATATATATATATATATATATATATATATGGTAAAAAAGGATATATGCAGTGTTATCTTCATTTTAGATGTCAAAAGGGTCCCTCTGTCTCTCTCTCCTCTCCCTCTCTCTCTTTCCCCCCTCTCTCTTTCTCTCTCTCTCCAAGGCAAACTGCCCTCCTCTCCATCCTGCGCCCCTTCCCCCAAAGAGATTGGCTGGCAGAGTTTGTCAATCGCCACTCTTCCTCTTCCTCCTCCTCATCCCCCCCCCCCATTCTGGCTTCAGCACAGAGTTTGCACCAGAAGAAGAAACGGGGCGCTTCCCCCCCACCTGCTGTTTCTCTTCCTCTCTTCCTTCTCCCATCACTTCTTTGGCGCGCGTTTGCTGGGAGCCCACCCAGATTTGAGCATCTTGGATTCCGACTCTTCCTCCCACACTTCCCACCCCCACGGATCCCTTCTTCCTCCCCCAACTCCCTCCCCCCACCCCAACACCGGCACTGCCCATCCCTTTTCCCATCCTTCCCGTGAGCGTGCGGGGGCGTACCTAGCTTGCGATGCGACCAGCATGGAAGGCGATGCCACTGCCACGAAGAGGGTAGCAGCGCCGGCGCCCGGGCACAGCAGCCAGAAGGGTGGCTGAGCAGCCCCCCGTGCCCCTATTAAGCTCTCCCCTCCCTGGGCAGGCAGCAAGCTTGCAATCGCGTTCAGAGAGAGAGAGACAGAGAGCGAGCCCGGCCTGGGACCTCCCCTCTTCCAGCCAGGACCCTGTTGTGTGGGCTTCCCACAACCCAACACCCGAGTGAACAAACATATCAGGTCCATGCCCAGCAAGACATACTGGGACTCTGGCAAATGACTGGGGTCCCCTCCTCCGCCCTAGCACTTGGGGGCAGCTCCTCTGCGCCCCCCATGCCCTGTCTGAGCCCCTCTGCCCGGCCTGATCCGGACCCTGAGGGCGCTTAGCTGGGCAGCACTGGGGACGGCTGGCATAGCGTAGATGGTACCAGGTCCAGGTGGGCCCCCCCAAGAACCTCCAGATGGCCTCTCCCCCTCCCGACCTCCATGCCCACCTGGACTGCAGGCGTTAAGCCAGGCCGGGAATGTGCATCTCTCTCGCCAGCCCCGCCTCGCTGTGCCCCGCCCCGCCCCACGTCGTGTGGATGCCGGGCTGGCCAGCGTAAAAGCCAGTCAGGGCCTCCGCTCTCAAGCCGGGAGGGGGGGCGAGTGGGCGGCTGGTGCCGAAGGGGCAGGGAGGGGGGCAGGAGGCAGAAGGCGCTGAAAGGCACCCAGGGCACCGCGGAGCGACCTGAGAGGCGGGGAAGGCGGGCGAGGAAGCCGTCAGCCAACTTGCACTTGAGCCGAGGGCGAGTTCAGCACCTGGTTTGGCACCAAGAGAGCCAGGGAAGTGCCACCGCGTTTGGCCGAGCATGGCCCCGGTGCGACGCGGATCTAGCAGTTGCGGTAAAAGGGCGCCATGAACGGCTACGGCTCCCCGTACCTGTACATTGGTGGCCCAGTGGCTCAGCCGGCCCGGGTGCCCCTGCAGCGGACCCCAAGTGCACGCGCTGCCGCAACCACGATGTGCTCTCACAGCTGAAGGGCCACAAGAGCAGCAGCGCATCATGGCCGCCCAGATGGCACTGTGCCGCCAGCAGGCCAAGAGCCTGGAGAGCCTCTTGCCCAACATGCTGCGCATCCTGCCTGCTGCCGCCGCCCCGCACCCCTCTGCTACGCCACCCAGGCACCCCGGAGCAGCGCCCGCCACCATCACTGCCGCCGTTGTCCAGGGACGGCCTGTCGTGGCACTAGCCCCCCCCCAGTGGTGCCGTGACTACATCCCACGGGCAGAGGACGAGCCCGGGCAGCGTGGAGTCCCGGCTGGGGCAGCGGCCAGCGACGGCATCGTTCCCCGGGCTGCTCCCTGGGCAGCCAAGCCGGCAACCTTCTGCGCCGGCGTTTTCGGGCCAGAACCACTGCAACGGCCCACCGACCGGTCAGTTCTGTCCACCGGCGACGCTGGAGCCTCCCGTGCTAGCGGACTCTTCAGTGGGCCGCTCCCTGGGGTGATCCCGGAGCTTCCCCGCGTGGCTCCCTGGACACGTGCGCCTCGGACTGGGTCAGCCTGGAAAAGGGATTTCCTGGCTGCCCTTCTCCCAGGGGGTGTAGCACCCGGGCACAGGGCCAATCAGGAGCCCTGCGAGGACGCAAGTCCCATGAGAGAGAGAGAGAGAGAGAGAGAGAGAGAGAGAGAGAGAGAGAGAGAGAGAGAGAGAGAGAGNTCTCTGTCTCTCTGCAAATGGCGGAGCAGGCTCCGGAGCTGCAGGAGATGGCTCAAAGAGCTACATGCGGCTCCGGACCGCGGGTTGCCGACCCGTGACCTATGGCAATGTCATTTCCCCTTTTATATTGACCCAAATGCATTCAAGAGAGTTTTCATCATTGTTGTGCTCTATTTCTGTAGAGATGTAGTTATTTCTTATATAGAGAGCAACTCCACCTCCTTAGTTAAATAACTAGCAAAAAGTTCATCTATTTCCTCTGTTTGGTTGGGTGGCCTATAGCAGAAGTCCCCAACCTTTTGGGCATCAGGGACCAATTCCGTGGAAAGAGGTTTTTCCATGGACCGGAGGGTGTGTGGTTTTGTGTGCTGCCTGCATCCCACGGATGGGGCTTTGCTTGTTTGTGTGGCCCGGTTGCTGGCATGCCGCGGCCCGGTACTGATCCATGGATTGGGGGTTGGCCTATAGTATACACATATGGCAATATCTTTCCCCCCTTTATATTGACCCAAATGCATTCAAGAAGTTTTCATCATTGTTGTGCTATATTTCTGTAGAGATGTAGTTATTTCTTATAGAGAGAGAACTCCACTTCCTCTTTTATTTTGTCTGTTTCTTTTAAATAATTTAAATCCCTCTAGCTGTGTGTTCCATTTGTGGGTTTTATCCCACCAAGTTGCTGTAATGCCAATAATATAATATCTGCCCTCATTTACCTGAATTTCTAATTCACCCTGTTTATTGCTCATACTCTGTGCAATGATGTATAGACATCTGAGTCCTTTAAGACTGACCCTGTGTTTACCTTCTACATAACCTGTGCGGTGCCTGAGTTCCCCTATTTTATTACTACCTGTTTGATTAGTGCACTTGGTGTGGCACTCACTATTAAAAGCTTGATTTTGCTTGACAGCAAGGTTGATTTTATCAGCACACACCTCTATGTTACATGCACTGATAACCCTATAATTTTTAGACTGAAATGAAACACTAGCTAGGTAACTATATAGCCACAGCCCTCAGAGCTATGCTAGAAACCAACAAGTGTTTTGAAGCCCATAATGAATGCTTTATGGGAGATGGACTGGCTTGGGTGGGCGCTAAACTTTATGTACCTGAGAGCCATAGACTGGTGTTCCTAGGGAAAAGCCATGATTCCAAAACTACAGGGCATTTTGCATTCGGAAAAACCTTACACCTAATTAAGAGACAATTCTGGTGGCCGTTCCTAAAGAAAGACATTGAAAGCTATGTGGTTAGTTGCCCAGTTGCGCATTGGCGATGTGACGACAAGGGAAAACCCCAGGTCTCCTCCAGCCAGTGGGTGAGCCGCCAAACGCAGTATGCAGGGGAATTTCTATGGACTTCATAGTGGAACTCCCTGAGAGTTTGGAAAACACAGTGATCTGGGTAGTGACGTATTCTCCAAGCAGGTGCATTTTGTGCTGTGCCAGAAGATCCCCTCAGCACACACACTGGCTAAATTATTTGTGCAGCATGTCTATAGACTGCAGTTTGTCCTGAAGCTACCACCTCTGCATGCAAGCTGCTGGCTTCCCCAAAGCCTAACAAGAGCCAGAAGAGGTTTTCAATCTCCTAATGGCCAGCTGATTGGGGCAGAGGCTCATCCCCCATGGAGGCTTGTTTGGAAACTTTTGTGGCATTGCAACACAGTGATAGGCCCTAATCTAGCTGGGTTCTTTCTTCTGCTAAGCTGTTTTCATCTTTGCTTCTCTGCTTTCTTTTATGGACTCAGCTGGGCAGCAGGCCTCCAAAGGCATCCTCACTTAACAACCCACATGTTAATTTACCAGTGGCATCAAGGAGAGCAGGGAATGTGGGCTGCTAAGCAAGTCTCACTTAATGGCTGTCTCCCTTGCAACTGTAATGGGCAGGCTTCATTACAGTCATAGATCAACAAGTACTTATAGGACAAGTATAGGAACGTTCCCTTTAAAACAAAAATGCTACTTGCATTTTTTTTACTCATAATCCTCAAGAATAATTATCTATATTGAAACTATAGCTTAAAGTGTCAAATTTAACTATGACTCAAAAATATTAATAATAATTTTTGTTGCCTAAAATAGCTTCTCTGTCACATTCTGATTTAGATTCACCAAAAAGCCTTCATACAGTTAAAAATAACTATACTATACAAAGAAATTCATTATCATACATTATACATCATACACATAGAATGTGAACAAGACAATAAGTAATATTTTGGCTTTACAGATATTGTGAAATAGGCCAAATTCATAGTTTAGTACAGCACACATTGTCATAATTATTATCTTAAGGACTCAATGATAATGCTAGATTTGTTTATATTTAATACCAGTTTCTCCACCAAACTCAATTGGATGGGAGAAGCATACTTTAAGCAACTGTTTTCTGAAAGGAGAAAAATATCTATCAGAGGAGACTCCTTTCCGATCAACCTATTCTGCATGGAATCTTTCTACTTCCCCTTAATCTTGTCCCTTAGACAGTTGCATAGTGAAGTAAATGAACGTTCAAAGAGTTCAGTGCAGAAGCATCCATAGGATTCAATAGTTTCTTCAAAAAGATGGAAGCGGCATAATGCCTTCATGGTGTCCCATGCAGCTCTGTCCTATCATATGTTTACGTGATGTTGATACATGTAAAGAAAGGATAGAGTTTGTGTCACAATGGCACAAGTCTGTTTTCATCATTTGCTCCCTCTTACCCAACACCTCTGCCTGGATAGAACGTTTGGCATAGATTCCTCTGTTCCTTTTGGTTCTGGATAGAAGAAAACTTGAGATTATTTGCTGTTTGTTCATACTATGTTAGCTGTGTTTTTTAAACTTATATTTTATGTTATGACAGTTTGAGCTGGTGGTCAGTTTGCAAGAGATGGAAAGGCTTTTACTTTCATATCATATTGAAATAATTAGGACATTTTAGATACCAATCTAGATAGTTTAAACTTAATGCTTTGGGGAAAAGGAGGGGATACCTTAACCATACATTACATCAATAGTTAGTTCTAAGGTAATCTAGTTAAACGTGTTAGTTTTGTCCAAACTTTAAGGAAAATATATCTTTTATTCTGGGGAAAGAAACAATAACCAAAACATGATTCTTTTTTCATTTCTCTATAGGTATAATTGAATATGTATGGGTGAAAGTATATCAAAAAGAGATAGATGAGGTAAAATCCAACTGTCACTTGAGATTTCCCCCCAAAACATTTTAGAAATAATAGCTACAAAAATAGCTTCACTAAATCTATCCAGAGCAGCTTTCAGTTTCTTTAATCATTTGGGGCCAGTTCAATACTCACTTTGGTGATTTGTGCTATGCCACACAAACATACTTAGTATGGTTTGCTGCTTTATGGTTTAGGAAATTTCATTATTTGCTTCTAACATGATTGGCAATAAGAACAGCAAAGTTTATGCTGATAGTTTTCTGGCAGCAAAAGATTGGATAGCTATCACTAACAGAACTATGGAGAAAGGCATTCAGGAAAAATATGAATCAAGTGGCAATATATTTTATTTAATAAATTTTATAATCAAAGTCCAACATACACTTGACAGAGAACAGATAGAATCTTTGTAGATATCCAAAAGTTATAAACAAAGAAATACATATGTAGCAAAGACAACCTTGAAGAAGGAATGAAAGAAGTTTAAGTAAATGTCATCTTGGCATTGGGAAGGAAGAGGGAGCGAAAAATAAACTCCAGATAACCCCCAAATATTATTATATTCTCTCTCATGTACTCTAAAACACGGGTCGCTAACTCCCAGTCTGTGGACCGGCACCAGGCCACAACATGCCAGCAACCAGGCCGTGCAAACAAGTGAAGTACACCTTTGGGGTGGTCCATACCTTTAGAAAAATTTGGGTAGAAAGGGGAATGATTAACAGCAAAGGAAAGGAATTGACCAAAAAGAATTGCCATAACCCATGTGAGTGCACATCAGAGGGGCAATTCTTTCGAAAGTGTGGGATTATGGATGAAGAAGCCAAGGGGGCAGCAAATGAAGAAAGTATAAATTGTAGAAACACTAGAAGAGATCCCTGTGTTTTCAGAAACAGAGGGAAAAAAATAATGCAGATAGGTGGGCAACAAGGAGAGAAGGGTAAATGGTTTCTCCCGAATGGGAGGCAGGTAATCAATAAACCCATAGCACGAGGATTATTGGAGAAGTTACATGAAGGAAGCCACTGGGGGGTTCAGGCATTGGTGGATGAGCTCCTGAAATATTATGGATGTATCAGAATTTATACAGCAGCAAGACAAGTAGTGAATAAATGCTTGATATGTTAAAATAGGCAAGCAATCAGGAAACAAAAAGGGGGAGGGAGGCCTCCAGCCCTTAGGCCATTTCAGTGCATTCAGGTAGATTTTACTACCCATGTAATACACCTGTAGTAATGCAACAACTAATGTGGTTTCTAGGATACTGTTGGAAGTAATATGTGCATAAACTGTCCAGATATTTTAATTTTCTCAGGAAACAAACACCTCCCTTGGAGTTTCCAGTCCACACCTGATCCTTTGAAGTTGATAATAAGAAAAAGCAAAATATAGAGACATTAGAAAGGGGGGGGAGTTTTAAATATGTTGGTTTTGTGACAGTAAATGTTGATGTAATTGTGGTTATACCTATTGCCCAGACTGTGCACCGATACACAGAGACTGTGGAGGAAAATGTGATATAGTGATCATCGAAGACTGGTGTCCCAAGTACCAATCTCAGCCCCTTACAGATAGTGGTGTTAAAAGTGAAAGGGAAGAAGTACTTTTCCAGGGATGGACAGAATTGGGATAATGTTAGACCTTAATATGACCTTGGTTACAAGAGTAATTAAGATATGGATTATAGTGGGAGTAGTAGGGTTCGGGAGCATATGCAAAAGCCAAAGTACAGATAACCCTGATAACTGTAATGCTTGCATTAAAACCACTAAAATGGGTGATAACCGAAACTCTGACATATCATACTCAGATGAACTACAAGTTGGTGGTGGGAACATGTGTCCATAATACCATCCAATTTCCCCTGTGTAATGAAACAGGAAGGGTTACATACGTTGACCCCTCTAGTGTGGAATATCAAACAACTACTCAGGTGTTTGCCATTCAAAGTGGAAAGAGCCAAAAGCTATTATTATTAGGACAAAACACCAGTACTTCTGCAAATCACAGGAGTAGAATCTGCTTCGATGCCTGCTATGCCATAAAGTTTAGTCCTTGGACCACCTGTGGTGACCTCAGTTGGCAGCGGAGTTACCTCACACAAAGGATATATGTTTACTATGGGGCTTCCCAGACATATTGGTATTTCGATGATAAAGGCCCACCTAGAGCGTGGTTTAATTTAACCAAGGGGGTTGGACAATCTGATTGTCTAGAAGACCATTGTACCCCCATCTGTTTGCATTTTGTAGATCCCGACAAAGGATTACAGGAATATGGGCTGGGAATTGAGAGCGTGGGAAAGGACCCGAACACCCGCATCTCCGTTAACGTAACCAGGAAAAATCTGACTCCAATAGAAAGGAGGTTATTTCATTCCTTTTATGAGGAACTTGAAAGGGCCCATCACCCTGATACCTTGGGACTCACCTTTCTCACCAAAAATCTGTTTATAGATCTAGCTGAAAGGATAGCTACCAGCCTGGGAGTAAAGAATTGTTATGTATGTGGTGGGACAAATATGGGGGAACAATGGCCCTGGGAAGCCAAAGAAGTTGACATCCAAGATACTAATATTATGTCTACATGGACTACTAAATTAGCAAAGAGAAATCAAAAGTGGACTCTAACTACATCCATTATAAGTTACTCCTGCTTTCAGAGAAACTGCTCCAAAATCAGGAGGAAGTAGGAATTATGGTATGTGAAGGTCAGAGATGCAATTAATAAAATACGGGGACTCAAGTATTCAGAATTGGGGAACCATGTATAGTATTGATCATAATCCCTTTAATAACACGGTTTTACAGGGATTATGGGACAATGCGTCCCAAGAATGGTTTGCCCCCCAAGGATTTTATTGGATATGTGGAAAATTTGCATATACCAGCCTACCTAGCAATTGGTATGGTTCATGTGTATTGGGAAATATAAAACCTAGTTTTTTCCTACTTCCCATTCTTCAAGGGGAAAAACTTGGAGTAGCAGTATACGAGGATAAGGGAGCTAGGAAAAAACGATCATTGAAAATTGGAGAGTGGAAGGATAATGAATGGCCCCCTGAGCGTATAATACAGGTATATGGACCTGCTACTTGGGCTGAGGATGGATCATGAGGATACAGAACACCAATTTATATGCTGAATCGCATAATTAAACTACAAGCAGTTTTGGAAATTGTTACTAACGAGACGCTAGCATTGAATAGCACCCAAATGAGGACTGCAATTTATCAAAATAGGTTAGCATTGGATTATTTACTGGCAGAAGAAGGGTGGGTCTGTGGAAAATTTAATCTCACCAACTGTTGTCTACAAATAGACAATGAAGGGAAAGCCATTGAAGAAATAACAAATAAAATGAGAAAAATAGCCCATGTACCAGTCCAAACCTGGACTGGAATACTTGATGATGAAGGATTCCTGAGAGGAATTTTTAGGAATTAGAAACAAGCTTTATTTATGTTAATAGTGATACTTGTAGGATTAATGTGCTTACCCTATTTCAGGGGTGTCCAAACTTTTTTCAAAGAGGGCCAGATTGGATGAAGTGAACGTGCTGGAGGGCCGAACATTTTTCCAAACATTCTTTGAACCATTACAATTAAACGCAAATGAATTATTTTATGCCTCTTTCCTCTCCCTCTCTTTCCTCTTTCTCTCTCTCTCTCTTTCCTTTCCCTTTCCTCTCCCCTCTCTCTCTTNCCTCTTTCTCTCTCTCTTTCCTCTAACTTTCTTTTTCCTCTCTTTCTCCTTTCTTTCCTCTTTTCTTCTCTTTCCTCTTTCCTTCCTTTCTCTTTCCTCTCTTTCCTTTATTTCTCTTTCCTCTTTCTCTTCTCTTTCCTCTTTCTTTCCTCTCTCTCTTTTCTCAATCTTTTTTCTTTCCTCTTTCTCTCTTTCCTCTTTCTCTCTTTCCTCTTTCCTTTCTCTTTCCTCTCCTTTCTCTCCCTCTTTCCTCTTTTCCTCTTTCCTCTTTCCTCTCTTTTCTTTCTCTTTCCTCTTTCTCTTTCCTCTCTTTCTCTTCTTTCTTTCCTCTCCCTTTCCTCTCTTCTTTCTCTTTCCTTTCTCTCTTTCTCTTTCCTTTCTCTTTCTCAATCTTTTTTCTCTTTTCTCTTTTTCTCTTTCCTCTCCCTCTTGCTTTCTTTCTCTTTCTTTTCTCTCCCTTTCCTCTCCCTTTCTCTTTCCTTTTTCTTTCTTTCCTCTCTCTTTCCCTCTCTCTTTCTCTTTCCCTCTCTCTTTCCTCTCTTCTCTTTCTCTTTCCTCTCTTCCTTTCTCTTCCTTTCCTCTCTTTCCTTTCTTTCCTCTCCTCTTTCTCTTTCCTCTAACTTTCTCTTTCCTCTCTTTCTCTTTTCTTCTCTTTCTCTTTCCTCTCTTTCTTTCCGTTTCTCTTTCCTTTCTTTCTTTCTCTCTTTCTTTCCTCTTTCTCTTTCCCTCTTTCCTCTCTTTCTCTTTCCTCTTTCCTCTATTTCTCTTCTTTCTCTCTTTCCTCTTTTTCTCTTCTTTTTCTTTTTTTCCTCTCTCTTCTCTTCCTCTTTCCTCTAACTTTCTCTCTCTCTTTCCCCTTTCTCTTTCCACTTTTTCTCTTTCCCTGTCTCCTCTCTTTCTCTTCTCTTTCTTTCCTCTTTCTCTCTCTCCCTCTCCCTCCAGGTTAGGAGAGAGAGAGAGAATGAAAGGCAGATGGCGCCGAACGGGCGGGGAGAGCAGGACGGAAGGTAGAAGCTCCCGGCCGCCCCATCGCTTCTTCAGCCGAACAAGCAGGGAGGGGCAGGGAGGGGGAACAGGACGGGAGGCAGCAGCTCCAGTGGCGGCGGCCCCATTGCGTCCTCAGCCAAACGGGCAGGGAGGGGGAGCAGGACGGGAGGCAGCAGCTCTGGCGGCAGCCACTGCAGCATCGTTGGGGTCCCCGTCGCCNGGGATGGGGCCAGCCCGGGAAAGGGACTTCCTGGCCGCCCTTCTCCCAGGGGGCGGGACACCCGGGCGCAGGGCCAATGAGGAGCCCTGCGAGGGGGCAAGTCCCATGAGAGAGAGAGAGAGAGAGACAGAAGTGCAAGTGCCTCTGTCTCTGTCTGTCTGTCTGTCTGTCTGTCTGTCTGTCTGTCTCTCTCTCTCTCATGGGACTTGCCGGAGGGCCGTGGGAGGGCCGCATTTACATACCGCAGGGAGGGCTGTTCGAGGGCCGGATTAAACCGGGCCGCGGGCCGCAAATGGCCCGCGGGCCGGACTTTGGACATGCCTGCCCTATTTGATCCCTATAATACGAAGTATTGTACAAAACACTGTGGAGGGAATGATAAATACCATTAACAAAAGTGACAAGCAAATGATGTCAAACAAGGTAACTGAGCATACTGCAATAATTGATTTCGAGAATGCTGAGGAGATCCAGGAAAGTTTAAAACCATTTGAAAAACAATATTTTTATTTTTAAATTAGTGTAAAAACAGAAAAGGGTGGATTTGTTAGCAACACGTTTAAAAATAAAACAATTCTTTAAACCCATTCCCATCCTATGTCTCCCGGAGGGGAGGGTGGGATGTATCTGCAAGTTTATTGTTTCCTCTATTTACTTTGCCTTTTGATCTGTATAACCTTTTAACTATTGTTTATTGCCTTTTGTATCCGCTGAGAGTTAGAGATTGATGTTATTTCCCTTTTCACAAGATAAACTTAACAAAACAAAAGGGAGAGGGGTGATGTATTCTGGTTAGGCGCCTTGGACAAGATTGTAAACCCTGAAATCCTTTCAAATGGGACCAAAGGGGAGGGGAGGGGAGTGGGGGCGTCACACTAGGAGTGTATATAGTGCTATGAATTTGAACAATTGGGTGTGGTCTCTAATTTAGAACTTCGTGTTGAAGTATCTCTTAGAGATCCACCGCACTTTGCAAACTGCTTTTTCTATTTTCTGCAGAATAAATTCTTTTCTTACCAATCCAATTTTGTTAGTGTTTTAATCACGTTTCTAACAGTCCGTGAAAAATTCTTTCTCCATAGAACCGGTCTCTGGTGCCCAAAAGGTTGGGGGCCTCTGCTTTAAAAGACCAGTTGATTATAAATAATTAAAATTTTGTTTAATAACATAGTGCAAATAGTTTACATAGAATTTGAGGTCTTTTTCTTTCAAGCTGTTTCTGTTCTTCCTTTTCTGCTGTTAAATGAGTGTTTAAACTTTTATTTGCTTTAAGTTATTGCCACTTGATCATGGAAGCCATAGAAGCAAAGCAGTTTCACTTTATTGAGAATCAAGGAGGGGAACTGCTTCGTAAAACAATTTCAAAAAGATGTTTCATTACTGAAGTAAAGCACCTGTTGAAAACATATGCAGCCATAATATTGAACTGGAATTAGGAAACAAAAGCTGAATCCTTTGATTAATTTATATACAGTATGTGCGCATACACACAGACACACACACCTTAGCAATGAAAGCCAAGTGGATAACCTTGGGCCAGTTGCTCATTCTCAGCCCAACCCAACTCACAGGGTTGTTGTTGTTGGGAAAAAAAACAATCTACACTGGAAGTGCAGTTTACGAAGATTTATCCTGTTTGGATTATGTTCTTCAGCAGAGATGGAGACACGGTTTAGATCAATCAATCAATTGATCAGATGATTTAGGGCCAAAACATTGTAACAGGGTTTATCCACTATGCCAAGGCCATTTTTTTTTCTGTTTCAGACTTAGTGGGATGCCCAGCCATATAGTTGAACTAAGCAATCTCCAAGTCTGAAGGGAAGGGAAACAATCCAAATTAAAATATGTTTTTGAGCAAGTAGACCAATTCTGTGACACCAGTTTCAAGTATAATCTTGGTTAAGGTCTCCTTATTTTCATATTACATAAGTCCAGCCATTATGTTTTGTGGCTTAGTGTACTTTGTGAACCCAGTCAAACTAAGGTTAAATAAAACATAGCTTAACTCCATACACCAGGGATAGTCAACCTTGGCTCTTTTATGACTCGTGGACTTCAACTCCCAAAATTCCTGAGCCAGCATGGCTGGCTCAGGAATTCTGGGAGTTGAAGTCCACGAGTCATAAAAGAGCCAAGGTTGACTACCCCTGCCATACACTATACAGTACAAATCAAATCTCTCAGCCCTTCCCACTTTAAGAGGAAAAATAGAACAAAAATTCAGCATATAATTTCTTTTAATAGTGTCACTTCATTATTCATACTCTCTTTTTAAATATATTTGAATTGGTTTCATTATAAACTTTATAGCCTGCATTTTAATACTGCAGCAGTGCATAACATAAGTGCATATGTTTAAAATTATAAAAGTGTTATAAATCGTATTTACCTGTTTTTCTAGTGCTTAAAGCCCAGGCTAGAAACCAGGAGACCCGGGTTCCAGTGCTGCCTTAGCCATGGAATGGTTGGATGACCTTGGGCCAGTCATTCTCTCAGCCCAGTTCACCTACCAGGGTTGTTGTTGTGAGGAAAATAAGAAGAGGAGGGTGTGTTGGATATGTTCGCCGCCTTCAGTTGTAATAATAATAAAGGTGAAATAAACATATAATAAAGTGCTTCTGTTTAAATACAATTATAAAAGTACTATGCACTGTATCTATCCGAATCTAAAATTTAACAATTTAAATCGTATTGCCTTATTTTCATGACACAAAAACGCTGCCCCCCCCCAAACGTTTTCAGTATATAAACTCCAGTTCCCGCAAAGACATCAAAAGTCTAGCACTGAATACGCTTCCACCCCTCTTGCTTTCTAACCAACCCGCTCGCGCACGCTCTGCGTCGCATGCGTCGCAAACGTCATGCGAAATAGGCCACCTACGCTATCACGGGAAGCCAATGGGAGGCTCGGAAGAGCGACGTTAGCGAGGCCCTCTTTGAACCCTGACCTTAGGTCCTCGCGCGAGGCAACAGACGGTGGGACTATACGTCCGCCTCCATTCGCCTGAGCGAGATCGTTCGCGATCGTCCTTCGCCTTTTCCCGCGCGAGTACCAGCCGCTGGCGATGATACTGATCTCCCCACAGCGCGCGCGCTAAACCCCCCGTCATCGTGTCCCACCCCCGCCTCGGGGAAAGCCTCGGGGGAAGCACGGCTCATCGCCGTCAAGCAGGCGCCGCCAGTCTCTCTTGTCAGGCAGAGCCCTCGCTCCCCCCCGATTCACCTTCTCTTCCCTCCGCATACAGCACTAGGCGACGTGGAGCCGGTCAAACGCTTCCCTCACCGGGACCATCATCATGGCGAGTGCCTCATACCACATCTCCAACCTGCTGGAGAAAATGACATCGAGTGACAAGGACTTCAGGTAAGAGGCCGAGTAGGTAGCTTTCCTCCTGCTTAGACTGAAGGTCTCTCCCCAGGTCCGCCCTGGGATGCTTTATAGCGGGCAGGCCCGAGCTGCTTCCTGGGAGGTGGTGCCCCACCCAACCTATCTTTTGCCTGATTTGAGGCCCGTCAAGCAGGAGAACTTGAGTCTCTGATCCTGGCCTTGTTATGCCTTGCTTGGAGTCCGCATGGCTGCAGTTTGGAGCCCGGCCTTGAGGCGGCCCTTTTCCCCTAGAAGTTGTCTGGAAGTTTGTTAACCCCATTCCCTCTTTTTGCTACGCTCTCTATTACTCTTGTACTCCGTAATTTGTCATAGAAGCCGGTTCTCTGCAGGCAGGACTTTTACTTGTGGTTTGATTTTAACCGTTTCTGTTTTTAGGTTTTTGCAATCCTTGTTAAAATATCTTTTTAAACCAAATGTTTTAATTTGTGTATGTAGAGTGGAGAAATCGTTGTGATTAATATAGCATCTGTGCAATTTTCTTCTCTTTGAAATTTGTTTCTAAGGTATAAATATAATTTTCCTTGAATTCACAATAGAAGTATGTATTTTAAAATATTATAGTAATAATACTGAATTTTAGTTTAGAAATATTAAAATATTGGGTTAGACACATATATTGCTGGTGTTGAATATTATAGCATATCACTCCTTTTTCTTTTGATATAAAAGGCAAAGCGATTTAAGTGTATAACCTGTCCACGTCTGCTGCAATAACAGATTGTACATTAATATTTCTAATACTGCAGTAAAATGGAAAAAGTTTTGCAAACTGTTGAAATTCTTGCTGTTATAAAATTAAATTAATTGAAACACTTTCTCTGAATAAAGGTAAGAGGTTTGACTGGTGTATCTGATACATAATTTAAAGCAGGCTCATTTTTCCTGTTCTCATACATTTTAATATTATTCTTCAGAACATATTCTCAGTTTTTATTATAGAAGACTGCTGTACCTGTAAATCCTCTTTTGCATGTTTGCTGAGTGAAATAAATGATTCTCTTAGCTTAGCATCAACATTTAAGTCAGTAAGGACATAGAAAATTATAACTGTGAAGGACCTTAAATTCATCAATATGTCATAATATAGCAGCATAGACAGACATTGACCATTTGTTAGTCTGTTGTTAAGCATATAAAATAAAAGGTTTTATTTATTGGTATTTTTATTGGTATTTTCTTAAGTTTGCTATTGGCAGATTAATTCCATTAAATTATAAAATACCTGTAGTCTTTGACTTACAGCCACAACTGAGCTCAAAATTTCTTGTGTTAAGTGAGACAATTGTTAAGTGAATTTTGCCTCGTTTTACAACCTTTCTTGCCACAATTGTTAAGTGAATCACTGTAGTTGTTAAGGAAGTACAGGGTGTTAAGTGAATCTGGCTTCCCCATTGACTAACCATCATAAATATGAGTCAATTGTCAAGTGTCTCAATTCTGATCACATGACCACGGGGATGCTACAATGGTTGTAAGTGTGAAAAATGGTCATAAGTCATCTTTTCCAGTGTTGTAACTTTGAACAATCACTAAATGAACTGTTGTAAGTCAAGGACTACCTGATTTCTCCCCCCCCCCCAATATTTTAAGTTTATACATGCTGTTATATACAACTTGTGTGTGCACCCCCTCCCCCCATGTAAAGTAATTTCTTTTCTGAAGTTATGGAATTAAATACTTCCTTACCGTGCATGAACTCTCATTTTCCATTTCACTTTAACTATGGTGTAGCTCTACTGCATCAGCTTCAGTACTAATCATGCTGTGGTTGTGTTTTCACCAGTGTCAATACCAAAGTCAAACTAGTCAAACTAGTCAGATTTATAATTTATAATGTCCTAATATCAGTAAATTTAAAACACAGTTATACAAAGTGATGCCATTTTGTGATTAATTAAAAGAAAGTTGGATATTTGTAAAAGAAGCATGGAAATATTCATTTAATACTTACAAGTTCTTTCCACTCATGCAATGCTCAATACAGGTAATAGTAATACACATAAAATATTACACTGAAACAGTAAATACAAAATTAAATAATGCATGAATGGGGCACGTTTCTCACATATGCAGCAGACTTTTCCAGGCCATTTCAGTGCTCTCTTTTTTCAAATGCACTATGCTTCTGTATGTTGTGCATATGAGAAGAAATGCCATTAAAAACCCAGTGTATCATTTTCATTGTTGAATGAGGCAAACATTTAAGGCAGGGGTGTCAAACTGCCGGCCCAAAGGCCAGATGCGTCACGAGGAAACCGCGCCCACCCCATTGCCGGCAATAGGGAAAAAGTTTCGATATGTTGTGCGATGTCACGTGACATCGCAAGTTTGACATGTCTGATTTAAGATTATGACTGGCATTTTTTTCAAATATTACTACATATTCATGGTCAGAAGACACGGGCTCTTTAAACCTTTGGTTTTTCTATATGATTCACATTTTCCTCATTCTGGCTTTCTAATAGTGGAGATGTCTTCAAAGACATCCCAATTTCATTTTTTAATAGAACATTGGACATCCTTCTGCAGTGTGATGACTGCCACTGCCATGTATGCCCTTGCATTCCTTCTGCTGTAATTTAAGTATGTATGGATAACATCAAATTGGAAAAAGCTGTCCTAAATATTTCCTCAAAATATGTGTATAATGGGACTTACTCTAAGCCTTTATTCAACAAAATAGGTTTTTATAATAGTTGCAAGTCACACAGGGAAAAAAAACATTTAATAGCTTTTAGTTGCATTTAGGTTTAATGTAAGAGTAGTAAAATTATTTTAATGATAATAGTAGAGGTAGTATTTAATATCTTACCAGTAATTTAAGAAGATGTTAGGATTAAATATGAAATGGAATCCACACACAAGCACATTCCTTTATATTTTAAAGAAATATAAAATGGTGTGTAATCATGTGGCCAGATTCTTTACTATTACTCCAATAATATAGGATTTAAGAGTATTAGAATTATTTTGTCATGTATTTCTAGGGATGTTGCATTCTTATAACCTATTGTTAATAAATCCTACTCTGAGTGTTCATAGGAATATTCATCTTTGGAGTGGGATGAACTTCATTAATTTCTTCTAAAATTTAAGTTCACATAGAGTCCATAGTTTGCCATATGACTAGATCAGTGGTGGCGAACCTATGGCACGCGTGCCAGAGGCGGCACTCAGCCCTCTCAGTGGGCACGCGCGCCATGTCCTGGAGATGGCAACTGTCCCTCTTTAACCAGCCGCCTGCTAACTCGCCGGAGATGGCTAACTGTCCCTCTTTAACCAGCCGCCTGCTAAGTCCCACATGGCCGGATGCATCCCGGCACTGCTGGTTTCTGAATCAACCTTCTCCTGAAATCTGGGTGACATCATAAATTATGACATAAGGGCATTTCTAAAAAGGTTTTTTAACAGTGTGTACATTTATGAGCTCAGTGTTGTTTTTATTTAATTTACAACTGTGAACATTGTGTTTAATTTGGTATTACTTATTTTAGTGACTGTTTTATATGGTTTAATACATTGGTATTTCTATGAATTATCTAAAATTTAGCGTGTAATATATAAGGATGGTGAAATAAATAGAATATGTATAGGAATATAAGAATAGATTAATGAAGGAAGTGGTAGACTTCTTTTAAAATAGCTGGATGTGCTTTAGTTTAGACTAGTGTTTTTCAAAGTTGACAATTTTAAGATATTTGGATTTCAGCTCCCAGAATTCCCTAGCCAGCATCTTAAAGTTGCCTAGTTTGAAAAACACTGATTTAAACTGATGCATCAAAAAAGACATGGATTCTGATCTATTACAATTCTCTGATTTTGTGAGGGTTTTTTTTTTGCTAGTAACATGATGAACGATTTTTCAGACATAATCAGTCTTTCAGTTTACTATTTACCTGAATTGCTAAATAGCTAATGTCATTTTTTCCCTTTCTTTACTTAAATATTTACTTAATGGAGTTATGCTGAAAGCTAATGGAAAAGGTAAACAAGAATAGATATTTGATATTATCTTTGCCTTTCTTTTCTCTCCATTTTTTATGACAATTGGTGGTCTTTTGCAGATGAGAGAAGATAGTTTGATCTAA